ATGGCTTTTTTTGTTTGGCTTGATCTTGTAGATTCAGGGCAGAGCAGTAGTAGGAAGTAGAGGGTGCCAGAAACCGAATAGTAATATATGCATTGCCAGAGCTTGCAGTATTCCAGTGAATACTCTGTTCCGTAAAGAGTGCTAATTGCTCAATCTGATGCTCCTTCTTAGGTGTATGGAGAGCCAAGGGTGACAAGCATTAAGAACTTGAGGTCAGCTTTGGAGAGCTTGATTGGTAGGACTTATAGCCCAGAAGAGTCGATAATATTTTTTGAGCATTTAAAGGATAAATGCCAATAGCTTTAAAGCCACTTGGGATGTTATACTTAGAGAGAGCACTCTCCCTTGCCTGTTGCAGAATTTGCCATATGCTCTCTTTTTTAACAATGTAATTTCCCTATTGAAATCTCTCCTAACCTGCATCAGTCTATCTGCGCTTCAGTCGGCTAAAAACTGAAACATCTAAGGGTTGTAGCTTATAGGTTGTATGTGCTGGAAGACAAATAGGAACTATGCTATTTCGTAAACAATATAATAGGAACTCCCAGGCAACATGGGATAAATGACCATCAAAAAGGAGTAGTCGGTATCACCGTTGTGCCTTCATAGGTGTAGAGCTTCCGGGGCCGAAAAAGTGTTCCAGATATTATAATCCCTTCTTCTTATCAGTCCAGCCATTTTCACAATATCCTATCGGAACTCCTTTAGGTATAGAGAATTGAATATTCTCTACCCAATTATTCTGAATATTCTCTCCATTGAAAATAATCATTAGCTAGAGGTAAGAACCATCCATGCAAATCACTTTTATTCCTGTAATGAGTTCTTGTCCACCATCAATCATACATAAGGCACCTTGGTGCCTATAATCTTTTCCATATATTACTCGATACAATTGGGTAAACCCCATGGGATATTTGATCTAATCAAGGTTTTAAACCTTTTTTTGAATTATATCATATTTTAAAATCGCTGCTTCCAACTAATTTAATTACTATATTATGTACATACTAAAAATCAATTAACTAAGGCCTCTTCTTCACCATGGTTTAAATATTGCTTCACTTCAGTGAATTCACTTACTGGCCTTCAGCCATGCTCCTGATGCCAGATTGTTCCTTTTGGAATCTCGTAGTCATTGGCTAGCTGCTGGTAGGTTGGTATGGTTGTATTTTCACTTCGTTCACTTCGTTCGCTTCGTGCATAGTCTAATTCATTTATTGCGAGTTCAATTTGATCTTCGGCAGTAAAGGTTCGTTCGGCAGTAAAGGTTTGCTTGTTGGAAGACATTATGCTTGTAGTTTCAGAAATGGTTTATTGCCGACAACTAAACACTACCTATCCTCTATATATAACTTACATAGACTTTAACATGACGACTATTATTGTAAGTTGTTGCACTAGTCAGAAAACCTGTTTTTTGTTGACACTAAAAGTCACTTGTTTCGTGTCACCGTGTGTTTCGGCTCACCGTGGAGTACGTTAATTCTATTTCCTCTGCATCTTCTGTTTTCTGTAATTCCCTTCAAACTGGTTCCTTATTTCATGTTACTCAGAATATCTTGGCATCTCTTGGCACAAACCAGATCGGTTGCAACGAAAATGCCGTTTCACCGGAGGACCCGCCTTTAGGCTCTTTGCACCATACCGTGAAGTACTAGTACTCGAGTACCGGTACGGTGCAGTTCGGCAGATGTCATGCTCGGCTCCGCAATGAGGCTCCTGGCCGGGTGGTGATGGCACCCCTTGTTCACTCCCAGGCTCCCCCTCTACTTCACAGGCGTACCGCACTATAGTACTAGTACGTGTGCATTTACCGTAATATGTGCATTACGTACATTTATCGAAGGAGGGAAGGAAGGAAGGCGGGCGATTGCGTACGAAACTTCCAGGACTTTTTTTTTTCCAAACTATTCCCTTTGTTCCTCCCCGCCTTCCCTGCCTTCCCCTTCTCCTCCACCGCAACATGTATACTTTAGGGAGGGTACGGTGGAATATGTGGCTATCTGGAGGAATCGATCGATGATCGTGATCGTGGAGCGGGGATGGGCGAAGGAGTGGGAAGGACGGGGGGGGGGGGGAATAAGCCGGGGATGGGGGAGCTATGTGGGAAGTGATGGGAGAGGGGGAAGGAAGGGAAAGAGGGTTACGGTATACGGTATCACAATAGACATGTTCGAGGGACGGTAACGGTAATCGAATCCCGGTGATGGGAGGGGCGCTGTTGTGATATGAGATTTGGAGGTGATGTGACCACGATTCCCCTCCAAGGTTCTGTCTGCCTGGGCTGTGGGATGATGGTACTCGTAGAGTTGTCTTTTTTTTTCCCCTCTCGTCGTACCGTGCTGCTCAGGTGCAGAAAGGCAAGAGGTGGGGGGTTTGATAATACCAGAGAAAGGCTAAATTTATTACCAGTAGTGGTGTTGTGTTTTATATTGTGGACATACTTGTACGAGTACACTACGAGTACTGTACTTGACTTTATTGAAGCTCCTGACGTGGGCAACAAACCACAGCAAAATGTTGCACACAATTGAGCTCTTCTCATTTGAAGGAAGGTCTCCTAGGAATCGTTAGGTGGCAAGACTGGTGGCCGCGAGCCGGGGCCTTGTGCAGAAGGGAGGCGAATGATTTGTGAGGCTGGCGACCTAGTCCCAGTTATACCGTTCTATAAGCTCTTTCTATACCGGCAGGGCAGGGTACGGTGGCATCAGACGGGCGCGGTACCGGTACCGGTACGATATCATGCTCGAACAAGCGTGATTAACCCACCACCACACACCACAACCTGAACATCCCAATCACCCACCCCCCTCACACACACACACACGCCCCTTTCCCACACTTGGACTCCGCAGAGCTAGGGCAGGGACCCTCCATGCATAATGACGTCGTCCTGGCGCTGATTCTTTGGCTTCTCCCTTCCCTCCCTTCCAGGCAGACAGGATCTCGATATCTTCCACCCTTGTCTTGTCCATCCATTGTCTACCGGTACCGGTACTTGAGTATGCCCTACGCTATGTTGTTTTCCTTTTTTTCCCAGCTTTGCTTGTCTGCCTGTCCACGGTACTCGAGTATGCGCACCGGGGAGGATCCAAGCAAAAGGATGCCCTGAGGTGATAGAGAGCGTGAGTGAGTGAGCGAGTGAATGAGTAGATGCTCGAGTAGTCTTGCCTACGGGTGGGCCGCTCCTGTGTTTGTGCGAGCAGACCAACGGCCGACTTGGATATCCACCGCCAATCGATTTGTGAATTTGAATTTTACTTTCCTCCTCCTTGGCCCCCCCGCCGCTTCCTCTTCTCCCAGACGTTGCTGGTACTGGGCTTCCCTATCGCGCTGTATCGTGCACTTATCGTGCCATCCGGTACTAGACGGCCTTCCACGTTCAGCATTCGGCGGCTTCATCACCCTTTCCATTAGGAGAATGGTACGAGCACTGTACTCGAGTACCGCACCCAGCAGCACGACCACACATTCCACCTCCCCACCACCACCACCACCACACCGGTAACACACCTCTCTGATCGAGCTTATCGAGCGGTAAAGCTTCCGGAAGTGTGCGTGGGAATAAACTTGACTCTTTCCCTTTCCTTTTTTTCATACAACTTTACTTTTTTATTTGATCAGAGGAAAAAGTAAATAAACACAGACTGTCGTTCACCACGGTACTTTATTTTTATTTTTGTCTTTTACTTTCCTCCCATTTTTCGCCCGGCATAATTTACCGGGTGCCTTTTGGATGGACCTTTTATTTTGAAATCTTGGGACTCTTATTTTTTCCCCCCCTTGCGTTGCGACACAGTAACCACTGTCATACGTGCAAAGTGAGTGCCGAGTACGTGTCCTTGATTGTCTGTCCGTCTCTCCAGTTGTTTTCCTCTTGCTGCCCTGAATAGTATCGTGCACATAGTGTAGTCTATGTAGCAGCCAACAACCCTACTTTGCTCTGCTTGCCGTCTTTACTGCTACTTGCCTGTGTACAGTACTTGTACTGTACGTACTCTTTCACCACCTCGATAGGGCTGTCATTTTTGTACTTCTACTGTTTGCCCCTGCGTCCTCCCCACTTCCTTCCTCCCTCATTCTTTCCCCCTTCCCAATACACCTCAGCTGGAGATTTTACCTTCTCGCTCCATTGCTGCTGCTGCTGGGTAGTCCTTCCCCCCACCCTACCCCTCTTTTCCCCTTATCATATACATCTTCCGAACAGGCTGCCGCTGGTCGGGGGAGAAGAGCGGGGAAAAAGGAGAGATTAATACGGGAACGAAGGGTGAAGGGGGATTGAGTTGAGCAAGGGAGTGGGAAAAAAATTAAAAAACTCAAGGAATCTTCATGTTGATTTGGTGTCGTTGTTGCCCAGGTTCCTCGCCTTAAGGCAGTATTGCTCGCCTTCGTCGTCCCCTCTTTTTTTGAATATCGCTTCAGTCCCGAGCGTAATAAGAGAGAAGGGAAGGAAGAAAGAGAAAAGCAGGCTTGTGTGTGGTGAGAGAAGGGAGAGAAGGAAAACGAATAGAAGAGCCAGTTGCATAATTCTGCTTCGTCCCTCATTTGCCCTTCCTCATTTCCCCGTTCCAGTTACCTGCCTTTCTCCACTAGATTGTTTGAATTTTTAACTATCTTCTCATCCTCCTTCAACCCCTCCCCCTCTCTTACTACGAGTACTCGAGTACGGCTCTCTCTCTCTCTGTTTTTTTGTCTGCTCCGTTCGTTTTTGGGGTTTCATTTGGGGCGCTTGGAATAAGAGGCTTTCCCTTTAATGTCGCCATCGAGTTACCGGTAAAATAACTGTCGACGTCATACCCTAGCCCAAAGCTGCACTGACGGGATCAAATTAACGGCTGGTTGCCCTCGACTGCTCTTCCCTACCAACCCCCCCCCTAAAAGAAGGATAACTTTCCTGGGCGTACCGTATTATGCGATCGCCTCAAAACTCGCCACCACCGTTCCCTTCGACCTTTGAAACCTCCCACAGCGACTCGCCTACTGATGCTAGATATTCAATGTCAGCGTCCTCGTCGTCGAATACTGGTCGAGTGGGTACTAGTGGTGCAAGAGGTTCCGCTTCGGGCTCAGGAGATGGTGCAGGTGGTCTAGGTGGTGGAAATGGAAGCGGTGAGGGTAGAGGGTATGGTCGGGGAGAATATTCTATCGAGGGCTTGAAAGAGGTATTCTTCCTCCTGCTGTCGAACCCATCATCGACAATCAGTCTAGTCTTGCTGCTCGTTGCTGGGTGCATCATTATACGCTTGTTTGGAATTCTAATTTTTCGAAAGCCGGCCGTGAGTGCTCAGACTCAGACTAGCCGAAAAAAGAGCCGATTATATCAGGCTACTACAGCCTCCCCGTCCAGTTCTCCCGGCCCGCCTGATGTACTTGATGCTACCTCGATGACTGCCTCCTCTCCTGCGGCTGCGAGGGGATCCGGAATTGGGGATATCGTTCGGTCGTCTTCCGGTGCCGGGCCTATGCCTGCTGCTCGAGTGAGACACCCGACGGATCCTACACCTACTCCATCATACCCATTCCCTCGGATGGAGACATCGAGAACGATATCCAGTGTATCGACTGCATTCAACCTGAACATGTCACCGGGTACGGGCCCCCAAGATAGGCCCATCCCATCCGGCACTAATACCCCTGCCTCATTTGCTTTCCAGCCCTCCGGAACACAACCCATAACGTCATGGGAGAGCCCTGACTTTCCCACTCCAAATATGTATGAGCTTGCTCTACTATTACACTCTGAGGCTGGGATAGACGCCTTCTGGAGCAATATTATCAAGATCGCTACGAGTTGTTATAAGGCAGAGCGTGTTACATTGGCCGTGCCATCCGATCTCACAGACCTGGAGAATACCCCTTGGGGCCAAAAGGCTACTTTTAACGTCGCTGAAGATGATTGCTTGTCATTAACTTACATGGGAGAGGCGGGGTGTGTGGAGGATCAAGAAGAGTCATCGCCTGAAGAGGAGGATGGAACACATGGCGTCCCTATCCCAAAAGAATTTGTTTCACCAACACAATCGGAAAATCTGGCTGCATGGGAAGGGCTCGTGTCGAGGCTGGAAAACGATGATGAGCTTTCTACACCCTTAAACATCGATATGAACCCGGATGAACCATTTACTTCGGTGACCATCGGATTGGCGGAGAGCCACCATAACGGCACGGGGGATTCGGATTGGCTTTCTGAGACTAGCAGCTTATCACCAATGGAGCCTCCCCAACCCCCACCGTTACCCCCAGAGTTGGAACGACAAGGGCAGAGGAGCATGCCTCGTTCTGGAGGTGCCCAAAGTGAGATCAGGGGCCGGGTGTTCCAGACGCTGCAGCCGTTAAATTATGAGGCCGATGCGTTGCTGGATGGGGCTGGCGTTAGTAGGGTGTTACAGAGGGGGAGGGTTGTGGTTTTGGGGAGGGAATATAGGGATGTCAGGACTCATCTGGAGGGGTTAGAAAAGCGGCGGAAGGGGGCTAGGGAAGCCGAGGAAGGCGCTACTGGAACGCCAAAAACCTCACTAGCTAGCGCTATTTCCTGCGACGGAGGGAAATCTTCTACATCGATACCCGAGACAGCGTCGACGCAGGGTGTAGAGAGACTTGACCTGAGTTCGGTGAACAATGGGATGCAACAGACAGCTTCACAGCCTCCGACGCCCCTATTTTTTGTCGGCAAGGGCGTGCGTCTGAAAAGAAAGAATGGGGGGGAGGATTATCGTGGGCGGGATCCGGTAATGCAATTCTGCTCTGCACAGCAACGTTTACATCATATGCAAGCACGCTCGGCGTCGCCGGATAAAGCCCACTCTTACGAGGAGTACGAGCAGGCTCTCACGTCGCCATGGAGCCAATCACCGGCCCCATCACCGGCACCCAAACAGGATCCGCATGAGAATCCCTTTTTTGCTCCCCCAAAAGTTGACGAGGAATCATTCAATCCCCAAGTTGGGAGCCCTGTATACTCGGCCCAAGAACAGGTTAATGCAATTGGATTTGAGAGTGCGTGGACGGTTATCCATATACCGCTGATTCATCCTAGCCAGTCTGAGTCGCTGAACACATCCTTTCTCTCAATGCCTTCGACCGGTGCTTCCTACAGGCACAGTTCCCTATTCCGGGGCACTATGCCTGTGCCAGGAAGTGAGCACTTGTCAAGACACGATTCGCCGGGTCACAAGAAGACTCCTATCGCCATTCTTTCGATATTGAGTCCTGTTATCCCGTATCCGAGGAATTTGATTCATTCACTCTCTCACCTTGCGCCGTTGGCTGCTACGGCATTTTCTCTGGCGCAAGGCTATGCCAATGTTGTGAATCAACTCGCCCACTCACGATATAGGGGACCCTTGAAGCAGAAGATGGGCGTGGAGTCGGTATTGGCCAATTCTTTCAACCATCCAGCCCCTGCTTCTCCTGATGGTTTTTGTGGGGCGAGTGCTACGAGTCTGAGCGAAATGAGCAGTCCCCTGTCAAAGGATAGTTCGTCTAGGGTCGCAAGCCCTGGTTGGGAGGGCGCCGCGCCGGGCCCCCGCGGTGATGGCTCGGGCCGCAGGTCGTGGAATAACAGCACGGCTAGCACCCCTGCTAGTCCGGGGATGGAGCGACAGGACGGATACTTTGGACCGCCGTCACGGGGAGGGAAGATATTTAGTCGGCAGAACAGTGGGAATGTTCCGACGCTTTCCACCCTGCGAGCTGGGATTCCGGCGGTGGAATTGAGGGTTCGGATAGAGGATGAGGGCGCTGCGGGATCTAGCGGAATTGCCAAGGGAAAGAGACGGGGCGAGAGTATTCATGCTCCGCAGAGGAGGCGGGCCGACATGGGGGTGGGCTCGGGTAAGTTTCCTAACCATACGGATCCACGGAGGGGTACGGGTCCGGGTAAGACTCCCACACAATTTCTTGGTGGGATCGCAGGCGAAGGGGCATTGCCGTCCGCGTTGCCGGGCTCGGAAACAGCACATCAACATCGCCGTGGCCGAGGAACACCCCGAAGGAAGAGGTTTGGGCTAGCTCCGGGTTACCCACATACTTTGTTACATTCCTATGGAGCAGGGTATGCGGCAACCTTCCAATCGTTATACGCTACGACTTCAGTGACTTCACTCCCCAGTACTCCATCCGGACGGCACAGTATATTTTCCAAATTGCCTACTCCTAGCCAGCCATTGAATGAAATTCCTCCCCCTTCCAACAGGTTGCTAAGGACTATTATTGATTCTGTTCCTGTTCATGTTTTCACAGCTTTACCACACACCGGGGAAACAACTTGGGTTAATGAAAGGATGTTGACCTACAGAGGATCCTCGCCTGAAGAGTTCATGAAAGGGCCTTGGGATGCTCTTCATCCTGACGACCGGGAGAATTATGTGAAACGGTGGGGAATTGCAATTCAGAAAGGCGAAGCGTTCTCACATCAGGTGCGGATCCGCCGGTTCGATGGGGTTTATCGCTGGTTCATGATCCGTGCTGTTCCGTTGCGAGATTCGCGGGGTATAATTGTGCATTGGCTTGGTACTAATATGGATATTCATGATCAGAGGCTGGCGGAGGTGGATGCCGCGCGTCAGTCAGAGATGGCCGAATCGGAGTCTAAATACAGGTCGCTTGCGAACTCAAGTCCGCAGATTGTCTTTGCCGCTACTTCTAATGATGGGATTACCTATGCCAATACTCAATGGCAGGGATACTCCGGGCAAACTCTTCCCCAGGCTTTGCAATTGGGATTTATGGAGCACGTTCATCCTGGGGATAGGCACAAGTGCGCATTGCCAGGATTGGGGGAGACTTCGCTTAATGGGTTGCCAAGCCTTGGGAACTCATTTAGGATGACAGCGGGTGGGGGAAACCTCGGGGGCCCTGCATCTGGAAAGTTCGAGGACGAGAAACCTACATTTTCCACGGAACTCAGGCTCAAAGATAAACACGGCAATTACCGCTGGCATTTGGTTAGATGTGTTAGTGTAGAGACTAATTTCGGCACCGGGGATGGTCAGTGGTTTGGAACTTGCACCGATATCAACAATCACAAACTGCTCGAGCAGAGGTTGAAGGAAGCGAATGATGCTGCGCAGAAGACTATGGAGAGCAAGACGAGGTTCCTGGCTAACATGAGTCACGAAATCCGTGGGTAGAATTGATGGCTTTTAGTATGGTTGTCAACTGACTGGTGGCAGGAACACCTCTTATCGGGATATCGGGAATGGTTAATTTTCTCCTTGATACTCCTCTGAACGGGGAACAACTCGATTATTGCCACACAATCTCCCAGAGCTCGGATGGGCTTTTGAGTGTCATCAATGACATTCTCGACTTATCTAAGGTTGAGGCCGGCATGATGAGGATGAATCCTGAATGGTTTAGGATCAATACTTTGATTGAAGACGCTAATGAGCTCCTGAGTGCAATGGCCGTCGCTAAGGACCTCGAACTGAACTTTATTGTTGAAGATGACGTTCCCCCTGTGGTTTGCGGTGATCGGGTCAGGCTGAGGCAGGTGATGTTGAATGTCATTGGGGTATGTTATACTCTGTGAATCCAGCGCCGAGTGCCATATTCTTGAAAACATATAATTTAACTTTGCCATAGAATGCTATCAAGTTCACCACCAAGGGCGAAGTTTTTTCGAGGTGGTCTGTCATAAAGGATGCCCAAGTTGGGGAGGGCGAGGTCATGCTACGATTCGAGTGCCACGATACCGGACCTGGTTTTGACCGGAAGGATGAAGAGTTGATGTTTAAGCCATTTAGTCAAATTGACGGGTCTAGCACCCGGGCACATGGGGGCAGCGGGCTGGGATTAGTCATCTCACGGCAACTTGTTGAACTTCATGGTGGGCGGATGACAGCGAAGAGCGAGAAGGGCAAGGGATCGTATGCCGTACTTCTATTTTTCCTGACGGACGGCGCAAGGGCAGTGAGAGTGCTGACAAGTACGCAGCACCTTTATCTGCAGCTCGAAGTTCAGGCTACCACGAAATCCAAGCGATCCGTCGACTACCCCACAAGCCGTGATAACGCCTTCGGCAATTACCGAGTCACCTGGTCAAAAGCGAGGCATTCTGGAGTCTGCTCGGCTCAACAATTATCAATCAGACACTCCTCCAGGCCTGACATTTAGTGAAGGTCATTCTTTGGCTGCCCCATCCTCGGATAGCCCCGAGCCTCCTTCCACTGCTTCTATCCGAGCCACTGGCTCTGTGGTCGGGCAGGTGCATGCCCTCCCCATCCGGCCCCCGCCCGATCCTGCTTCCATGCGACTTTCCCTTCCATCTGGGGTCCAACGAAAGTACATGGCGCACACTCCTGCTCAATTTGGGAGGTGCGATTCGGCAGATTATCAAGGCTCTCCAAGAGATTCCGAGCTTGGCCGCGCAGTCTCCCCTCCGATGTTTTCCATATTAATTGTTTCCGAACAGCATTATTCCCGAGTCGCTATCGCCCACCATATCAAGGTGACGTTACCTAAGGGTATTCCAAATCAAATCACGGCTGTGTCCGAGTTTTCTGAGTGTAGGGATTTGATTGGTGGAGCGGATCCCGTTGTGTTTAGTCATGTTGTCATTAATCTTTCTGAGCACTTGGAGATTATCGAGCTCTTGACCATGTTATTGAGTAGTTCGATCCATTCGCAGTCAACCACCCTCCTGCTCACCAATCCTACGCAGAGGACAGCCATCATGCAGGGCGCGGCCGATGTATGTGATCACCTAGGCTTGAGATTGCAGTTCATTTACAAGCCTATCAAGCCTTCACGTTTTGGCGTCGTATTTGATCCGGCCAATGAAAGAGATGCTTCCATGGATAGAAATAGAGATTCTGCGCAGCAGGTTGTAGAGAGCCAGAAGAGGGTTTTCACTCAGATGGAGAAAGAGGTTGGGAATAAGGGGTACCGGGTGCTCCTTGTTGAAGATAATAGAGTGAATCAGAAAGTTCTGTTGAAGTTTTTGGGTAGGGTTGGTTTAGAAGTTGAGACAGCGAGCGATGGCGAAGAGTGTGTCGAAAAGGTCTTTGAGCACGAGCCGGGGCATTATGGGCTAATACTTGTGCGCCTTCCCTTCCCTTCTGGCTAGCTGGGCTAATTTGTCTCAATAGTGCGATCTCCACATGCCAAGAAAAGACGGATTCCAGGCCACGGAGGAAATCCGTCGCTGGGAGCAGGAACGCAAAGCGCGCAGAATACCTATTGTAGCTCTTTCAGCCAATGTGATGTCGGACGTGGCGGATCGGTGTATTGCTGCCGGATTTTCTCGATACGTTTCGAAGCCCGTGGACTTTAGAGAATTGAGCACAACGATTAAGGATCTGTTGCAGGATCCCCAAGACGGCGAATATGGTCATATTGAATAAGCGGAGCTGGTCGGGGTTATGTCTTATATTCCTCTTTTTGCTTTTCTTCCTTTTCTTTTCTATCTTTTCAAATTAAATTTTTATATGTATTGGTTTCTTCTTTTGCTCTTTTCCCATCCTCCGGTGTGATAGGTTCTGGTCTCGTTCCCATACTTGCTACGGTATCTTCTTAATGGCTTCGGAAAAAGAAACAGGTTGCTATTTGGGCACTCGGAACACGTGATGTCTCCATCCCTCCCTCCTCCCCCCCCTTCTCATTTCACCGGCACACCCGTGACGTTTGTCCGCCTTATCAATCGTTCTCTTCTTCTAGCAGCTGATGATTTCATTCTTTTATACATATATTGGCTATTACATTTTCGTTTCTTGTGGGCTGTAGTTTTAGTTTGGCTTGGGTGCTGGATTTATCAGTTTGTATTCGGGCGGAATATGCATTGGTGGCTTTGGTTTGGATTTAGGATTTTAAGGTTGCGTTTTACCTTGTCTAACAGGGTATGGGGGGCTTAATTGATACCAGTTGGATGGGCGGCTTTATATGGGTGGAGGGAGGGAGGGCCATGGGCCCGAGAGGTGTATTTACGATGAGTTATGGTGGCAATGATATAGACTTTTTTCCTTAGGTGCGGTCGAGCCATTCGGAGGATGGAATGGTGGCCGGGGGTAGCGGTCCTTCGGAAGTCCAATGCGGTGATCGTTCCTTATCGCAAAGAGGTAGGGCGAGCTGAAGCTTAGATTTGTTAGGATTGGAGGTAGTGCAGATGAAACCATAGCTGTAAGGTTGGAGCGTTGAGGGACTGAAATGACAGGATGGGTACCGGGCTTGATGCCCCAGGTAGCGGCGGGGCAGTGGGAGAATAGAAAATATACGGAGGGAATAGTAGTTGGGGAAATGAAATTTCCCACAGGCTGAATACAAGATGGGAGTGTTAGAAGTCCAAGCTACTCCCCACACTGGCTCGGCACCCTCCTACCCTTCCCCCCCCCCTCTCACCATTCATATCTCCTATCCCCGCAGTCCCCTGCTTCCTTTCCTTCTTGCATTGTTTGCTTGATTGTTCATGGTGGGAGAGAGTATGCCGCTGGGGTGGGGGAGAGAGTGCAGAGTGGAGTGCAGGAGTATGAAGGGAATAGCGGCAGAGTGTGGGAGCGTGGGAGAGCGTGGAGGAAAGGTGAAAGCAGGAGTGTAGTAGAGGACAACAGGAAGAGCACCAGAAGGAGCATGATGGAGGACTGCAGGAAGGAGCATGGTGGAGGACCACAGGAAGAACAACGGAAGAAGAGTGATGAAGGACCGCAGAAAGAGTGCCAGAGCACGACAGAGAGCGTGGGAATACACAGGGAGGAGGAGCGCAGGAGAGACACAGTGGCAGAGTACTGTGAAATAGCCTGGCGGGAGAGCACTGCCAAATAGTGCATGGTGGAAGTGCAAATTTGTCTTTCTTTCTTTGTTAGCTTCTCTTGTTTGTCTGGAGGATATAGGGGGCCTGGCTGGGGGGAGGGGGAGGTGCCAGTTTCCCTTTTTCCTTTGTTAGTTCCGATGTTTGTCTTTGAAAGGAGGGACTAACTGGGGGGGATAGGAGACTATGGTTTGTTGGCATCGCTCATGGTAGATATATTCTCCTATGTTTACAGCTAGTAAGATGAGTAAGCAATAGTTATGGGAGTGGAAGAGAGTAAAAGTGGGTAGTTTTTTTTCTTTCTCTTATATGATCTCTACTGTGAATAAGCTTGGTGTTTTTTCATTTCATAGCCCATCACTCAGCTGGTTTCCTATTGGCCAGTTGAGACAGATCCCGGTTCATTCACCATTGCAACTGCTGTTCCCACCACTCATTCAAAAGATTCTGAGCTCCGCCTTGTGCTACACAATCGCCTAAGTCGCCATCTAGTATCTACTATTGAATACCAACACCTCTAGAACCCCTGTGCCTACTCTTCACATCCTACTCCAGTCTTCACATCCTACCTCTTGCAAAAAGTCAACAGAATTTCACGCTTCTCACACCATTTTCATGGTCCCTGTTACACGAATTTTTATATTTGGTTGGTGGCTGCTTTATATTGCTCCTTTTGGTTGCATCCTGTTATTACTAGTTGCGCCCTGTTAGTACTACTAGTAGTTGTGCCCTGTTAGCACTAGTTGCACCCAGTCAGTTCTCCTGTCCTCTATACAGCACTCAAGCTCCTGTGCCCCTACTACCACCCCACACATACCTCGCTATTGCTACGGTCAGAATGTTGAAGACAGATCAGGAGGTGAATATTCTTGCCTTACTGGACATTAAGCTCTTCACCAAGGGAGTGAATTACTGCGAGAAGAGATTGGCCGTGGTAGATGTTCTCATTAACAAGGGGTATTGGCCCATTGTCTCTGGTAGCTCCTAGTCCCCAGCAGAGTCTGGTGAGGCCAGGACTCTATGGGAGCAGAAAAGCTGTAAGAACCAGAGTATGCTGAACAGGGTTTTGGATAGTGCTCACTGAGAGCTGTATATTGAGAAGTGAGATCCCAAAGAGCTGTAGACAAAGCTGGAAAGGCGCTATGCAGGCAAGGAGCAGGCAAGGAGTTGGTTCCTGTACAAGGAGTTGTCCTAGGTAGAGTATCAGAATGATAACCTTGTTGACTATATTTCTAGTCTAGAGAAATTGTTCTACCAGTTTGCTACCGCCAGTCAATCTCAAGATGAGAAAGAGAAAAAGTACCTACTACTATTGAAGCTACCCACCTCCTGCCACCCTTTCCATACCTCTGTGTAGAACAATGCCGATTATGCTGATATCAAACATGATACCATATGCAACCAGCTTAAGCTCAAATACCAACCGTTAATCAGGGGTGTGAGTTCTTCTGGTAGTGACCTCGAGGGTACCAACGCCTTCTTTGCTAGCTCGGGGAGAGGTGTAAGAGGTGGATTCAGTAGAGGAAAAGAACAGCATGCCAGCCTCAATGGTGATAGGGATAGATGTTTCTTCTGTAAGGAAAAAGGATATTGGGCAAATAAGTACGTGGCAAAGCAGCAGGCAAGGAGGTCCCCACCTGTGGCTAGTCCTTTTAGTTTTGGTTGGGGAAGAGTTGGTCCTCGGTGAGTATTGCCAGTTAGGCTGGACCAGAGTGCCAATACTGCTACCACTGAAAGAAGCAGATCCTCTAAAGCATGGACTGTGACGGATGAATAATGAGCAAAAGCCTCTGGATCAAAGTGGGTATTAGATTCCGGTGCCACCCACCCTATGACCTTCAACCATATCCAGTTTGAGAGCATGACCCCCATTCGCATCCCCACCCACATGGTGAGTGGGATCCAGTATGACAGCTGAGGGGGAAGGCAATATACTACTTAGTCATGTAGTCAATGGAAAAACAAACTCAGTGGTATTGAAGCCGGTTTTGTTTGTTTCCAAGATGAGTAACAGTAGACTTGTGTCTGGTTACTGTATTCTGGCAGCAGGTAGGGTGGTCAGCTTTACTGATAATAGTATTAGTATTGGGAATAGAAAACAGCTCTTTGGTATTACTAGACTTGAGCAAAATGCCTACATCCTCCAGACTACTGATACTGAAGTCAATCTAGCCAGTGTGACCAGAAAGCATAGAACCCTTTTTGACTGGCATCACCGCCTTAGGCATATCAGCTGCAATAATGTTAAAAGAGTTGCCCGAGACTATTTAGAAATGACTATTGAGGGAAGTTACACTAATCCTACACGTGTTAGCTGTGTTGCTGCCAAGCAAACCCACATCCCAAATCATTTACCCTTGACCTGTGCTACATAGTCTCCACTGGAACACGTTCATACTAACCTTGCTGGACCTATAAAAACACCTACTCTCAGAGGTGCCCACTACTTTCTCCTATTCATTGATGACCATCCCAGATATATTATTGTCTATACCCTCTGCCAGGAGTCCAAGACCTTTTCCAAGTTTCAGGAATACAAATCATTGGTAGAAAATTATCACAACTGCAAAATCAAGGCTCTCAGAAGTGATAATAGTGGAGAGTACACCAGCCATCAGTTTTTTCAATTTTTAAGAGACTCAGGTATTTCACATGAGAAGATTGCCCCTTACTCACAGGAGCAAAATGGTGTTAGTGAGAGAGCCAACTGCACACTAATAGGAACAATGAAGGCTACGATTGCTGAGAGTGGGTTGTCAGATAAGGTATGGGCTGAAGCAATATATACCGCAGTTTACCTGAAAAACTGAAGCCCAACCTCAAGCAAATCTTCTACCTCCTACCAACTCTGGAGTAGACAACATCCCACCATATCTTGCCTTATCAATTTTGACACCTCTGCCTTCCACCACATACTAAAAACGAAGTAGAGCAAGTGGGAGAAAAATGGTAAAGAATACCGAGTAGTAGGCTATGATGGAACAAATCAGTACTGAGTTCTTGTTGGAAGAAAGATTCTAGTTGTCCAGGATATTCAAGTAATTAAGGACTCTGAAGTGGAAGACCCAAAGGATCAAATCAAGCAAGTACTGGACTATGGTTTGGTTTGTGACAGCTGCGATAAGGATGAGAAGATTACCTCAAAAGATTAGAAAATAGCAGCAGCTATACCAGATCCTGAGCTGGAGCCTGAACCTATACTACTGGCAAAACCTGAAGCGCTACCACTTGAGGCTAGTGCAGAAGAGTTGCTACCACCAACTCCCTGTAATGATCCTATATTATAGAGCCATGGTCACCTATGTCTATGCTCATACATGAGACCAGAAGGTCAGATGGGAGACTAGGGGGGCATGATGGTGCATGTCGGAGGGATATCCGACAGTCTGGATATCCAGAAGAACAGAAGATAGTTGAGGAATAGGTGTACTTAAGTACAGGAAGTAGAGTGACTATGTCTGCTCCAACCTAAGGATAGGTCAGAAGGCTGAGTGAGGTTACCCTATCTAGGAGAGTCACATTACCCTACCATAGAGACCACTTTTGTGTCACCATGGACATACTTACCCTACCTTTGGGACACTATTACCTTACGTGCCATCGGAAATGTTCTCGAAGGAATTTGGAGAGAAATGTTAGAATTGTGTGTTACGCAATAACGATCGACAGGCACTTGCTTGCACACTGATCAAAAGACTATGGGAGGTGCAATAGTGCTCTGAACATGCTGTAACTTGGCAGAATTATTGCTAACAGATACCTGCAGCCCCAGGATTCGCCGGGGGTGTTATGGGCCTCAAATGGATGCAGTTGCTGTCATACTAGTTAAGTGGAGTCTATGAGGCTATGTCCATAATACTGTATACATCACTGCTGCCCATCCGACCGGAGGCTAGTCACAGGATATATAAGAGGGCAAAGGTAAGAAAGGTCATGTACCTTCTCTAAAAAGAACGGAGTAAAATGGACCAAAACTGATGGAGTTAGTGTGAGCTATCTGGAAGGGTCCCCAAAGTAGTCCTGCGTAGTGCTGGAGACATCTGGAAAGGTTTTTCCACCATCAAGCTTACATGTGCCCCTTTGCTGTAGGCTCTTTGTGGATTGTTTGAGGACTCTAATAGTATAATACTTAGCATGGTAGGTGGTATACCCGGGGTAAGGTACCATGGGTAGTGCCCACGGGTCCCGCCGCTGCAATAGTTTTTCATGAGAGGTTCATAG